AGCATTAAAAAAAAAAAAAAAAAAAAGTGCTGAAATGTCTGCAGCGCCGTTTCGTAGGGCCTGGCAGTAGGTCAGGGTGAAGCAGGTTTGATGCTTCTCTCCTGTGTGCGTTAACACGCGGAGCCTGGACCTGCAGGGCCCTCCGGGTTGTGTCCAAAGGAACGTGCAGGTGGTGGAACAGAAACCAGGGCGTTGTGTGGAGCGATGCGAGGGAAGCCTGAGCACCGGCCTCTCCTCTCGCCACCAAGCAGCAGGCAGGTCCGGCTGTCTCCTTTTGAGTAATTGATGKATGCCAATAATAAGGCAGCAGATGAAGGCAGCGGCCTCTGGGATGGTGGTGGCTGGTGAAATGGAGGGACCTTCCTGGCAGGAGAGCAGCTGTTTTTTTCAAGGAAAGAAATTGGAGCTGGATGTGAGTGAAGGGAAGGGAGGGGGAGGATGTGCAGGCCTGGAGCAGCAGCACTTTCCATTGAAATGGAGCCTCTCACAACCAACAGCATCAACTTTGCCTTTCCAAGGCCKTGCTTTTTCTAATAATTTTTTAATATGCAGGTTTTTTTAGCAATTCCCTGGGTTATATATTCAAGTAGAATCTGGGTTGGACTCCTACCTGACTGGCTTAGTATTTATACCTGCGCCTGATCTCTGTGGGGTGGTTTGATCCAGCTTGTTTATAGATTTTATTTTTAACCTTACACTAGGCAACTTGAAAGCGAGTGAAGCTCAATCTGCTCGCAGCATTGATGATGTTTTGGGGCTCCTAGAGTGTTATGTGGAGAGACTGGATTAACTGGTGTAAACAAATTGAGTTGTAGGCTCTGGGAAGCGAGCGTGCCTGGGCTGAAGCTTAACAACATCTGGTAACGTAAAGGGGGAGCAGAGAAAAGTGGGAGAGCTTTATTCTCCTTTTCCTCGTTGCAGTTTTGTTGTTGTATTGATTTAATTTTTTTTTTATTAGGAAAAAAAAAAACCCAAAATGTATGAAAATTCATGAATTAAGGCTGTTTTATTTCCATAGTTTTGGTGAGTCCTCAGGATCCTGGTGCCATGAGATAGGATTTAACCATTTCAGGTGACTTTGAACCTAACAGAATTATCACTAAAATCTTTTTTTTCCCCCCCTTTTTCAGTTTTCCTATTTTTCAAGCTCTTCTTTTATAGAACTTGCAAGTAAATTTTTGGTTTTCTGCGTTTTGTTTTTTCCCACTTACTCTAACTAAAGTCATGTTTCCCCAGTAAAATGATTTTTTTGGTGTGTATTATAGCTCTTGCAGGTGTCCCCTTGTGATACTAGTCTTAGTAGCAAAATTAATAGTGCTTGAGAAATATATCTATCATAGAATATTAATATTCTATTAATAATTGGTGTAATAATAGTGTTTGTTCGTGATTTCAGTAATATTTAGAGYTGGTACTTGAAATAGGGTTTTCATGAGAAAGTAAGCATATAAATGTATATCTGCTGTTAATTTATCTTTTGACTTTAGTTAAAGCTCTGAAGAACTTTGTTTTGCTCCTGGATTTTCATTGTATGACCTTGATTTAAAAAAAACAAGTAACTTTATAAGAGAACAGATTAATGAAACTCTCATAGTGATGTATCTTCAAAACATAGTATGCTTCAAAACTTGGATGGAAATGCAAATATTATCTACTATTCTATSTTTTTTTCTGTAATAGTGTTTTGTTGGATTTTCTCTTTTCTGATACAGTCTGCTCATTTGTTGCCCATTATGTACAGCTTTGCTTTCCAGAGAAGACCTGGTTTGGACTTGTACTATTTTTCATATAACTTCCCTAAACCGGTTACATTCTTACAGGGAGAGGTATAATGAAAAGTTTAAAGTAGCTCCTTTGAAATTATTTGAAATTCATATTAAAAAAAAAAAGTACAAAAAAGATCTCCATTTTGCTGTAGCTTGAAAGTCCACTGTTTGATTTTGTCCAACTATTTGTGAGGACTCCTGGTTCACCTGGGAGGCTCCTGCAGCTTAGTAGCAGGTGATCTTCAGCTTCCCCTCTTCTCGGCACTGCAAAGGAAAAAGTAGTGACTACAGACAAGGTGCAGTCCTGCATTTACCAGGTAGATGAAAGGTGATACCAGGTTATGTTTAAGATCTCATGGCTTGCTCAGCTTGCCTCTGCTACAGCTCTCTTGCTGAGYGTGTTGTTTTACGCCCTGTGTAGATTATAAAACTTGCAAGGTAGGCTGTGCGAGCAACTTCGCACATTGTTCCCTTGTTTCTACCCTCAGTTCTAAAATTTTCTTTTTCCTGCCCGTCTTTGTRAAAGCCAGAACATACTCTATCTTCTTTTGAAGATAAAGTCACAAAGCTTTTCTTTTTTGTCCCTTCCTTTTCCACCTTCTTAAATCAGCCTTCCAACAGATTAGCTTGGAGGAGTCGCTAACCTGGTTAAATGTACCAATTTGCATTAAAAACAAACATGTTTCCAGTTTTGAGAGAGCTTTGATCCTTCCCAAAACTTAGGGTTCACCCAAAGTAGKACTCCTGAATGTTATGGTTTTCTTTCTTTATCAAACAAGAAGCACAGTTTATTCCAGATCTACAAGAGATGCTAGTTGAGCAGAGTTTGTTTGAGAACATCAGTWGTGTTTCTTATGACTCCAGTGCTGTTTCTGGAAGTAGATGTTTGCAGGATGATGCTTTAGAGACCGTATTGAGATTGCTTTTGAGCAAAGAAAATTAAATCTTCCTCTTTCCTGTGTCTTTATCAAGTTGGTATTTTGAGAATGATGGATATATATAATACATATGTTGTTTGCTCTTTCTATCTAGTTTTAAATGTTAACTAATTTATGGATACTTAATGGTAAATATTTGACTGATATCTCCTGCGTTTGTATTGTCCGCGCTTTCCCGTATTTGGAGGTAATGACTGATCTAAGTCTTGCACTTACTTTTCTTGCTTGATTTTAAACCTTGCAGGTGATCTTAGGTGAATTTCAGCAGTGTGAATCTGAAATGAATCCTGGTGCCAAATYCCCCCCGCTGAAAGGGGCTGTGTGTGCAGAGCTCCCAGTTTACTGTAACCGACACCTCCCTGTGAGTCTGGTCCCCGTTCCTGATGCTCAGGCTGCAGCTGTCCTTGGGTCCTGGTCTTTTATTTCATGTTTTGATCGCAAGTTCTTCAGACCACTGACTTGTGATCCGTATYGAGCCTGACAAAGCAGTGACCTGATTTAGGGATGTTAACTTTGGGGGCCCACGTGCAGTGGGGAGGCACAACACTCAGAGCAGCCGTGCTGCACTGACCCAGCCCGTGCTTTGCCTTTCTTGCAGCAACAACTGAACAAGTGTCTGAGTGTTTTGAACCTGGGGTAGGCGTCAAGGGCTAGATGTCTGAAATTACTTTAGACAAGACCAAAGCAATGTTATGAGCTCAGTGGAGGCAACTTAATGACTATGTGAAAGTGGATTTTTGTTTGTTTTTTTTTCTTCCCCTCACTGTCTTTGAAAAGTTTGTGGCTTCTGATAAGTCCTTAACCTTTCTTTGCTTCTTCTTGATGTTCAGAGAGCAGCCGCGTCCAGGAACTTTTCTTTGTGTGTTGGGAAGATAAGCGTGCTGTCTTCCTTGAATAGTTCTTCTATAGCATTATAATTGCTGCGGGATCCTATGGAAGGAACGACACCTTGAAAAGTACCTTGCTGTGAGGAATTTGGTACTTGTACTTCAGTCTTCGTTGTCTGCAGTTTTCTCTTTTGATGTGCTATGGTAGATTTGAAGTCCTAGTGATTTTTATCATA